TATCTCTAGAATTGCCCCCCTTAAAAAATCAAACTGCCCCCCTGTGAGGCATGTGCCCCACGTTGTAAATCACTGGTTTAGATGCAAAAATAAGTTGTACTGCCCTGGCCAGTGTTTCTCAGTGGTAAGAGCATCGGCCTGTGCACCAAAGGGTCTCAGGTTCAATTCTTGGTCAAGGGCACATACCTGGGCTGCAGGTTCAATCCCAGGCCTTGGTCGGGGCACATGTGGGAGACAACCAATGGATGTGTCTCTCTTGCATCAATGTTCCTTTCTCTCTCTTTCTCTCTCTCTTTCTCCCCTTCCCTCCCTCTCTTCCACTCTAAAAAATCAATGAAAGCCCTGCCGGCATGGCTCAGTGGTTCAGCTTCTACCTATGAACCAGGAGGTCACGGTTCAATTCCCGGTCAGGGCACATGCCCAAGTTGTAGGCTCGATCCCTAGTAGGGGGCATGCAGGAAGCAGCCAATCAATGATTCTCTCTCATCACTGATGTTTCTATTTCTCTCTCCTTCTCCCTTCCTCTTTGAAATCAATAAAAAAATATTTTTTTAAAAATCAATGGGAAAAATATCCTAAGGTGAGGATTAACAACCATAAAAAAATAAGTTGTACAAAAAAGGGCATGGAAAAACTGTTATTCATCTTTATAATCTAACATAGCAAGTTAAACTAAACAGAATATCAACTCATTTCTGACCTTCAGGACATTACAATGAACATCAAAGTGGTTAAAAAAAATAATAATTTATACCTACATTAAGATATAACTATTTCATACCAAAGAGGTTAGAAATTTAAACTAAAGAGTTTATTTTTCTTATCTATTTCTGAATCTGTAGTTTCCTGATCTGGTTCATTATTTAATCCAGACACTATGGGGCCTAAAATGTTAGCTGAAACATGACCCTCCTTCCCTCCTGACATAAAGTAGTTAACGAGAGAGCACGGAGTTGCCAAGGCCTTTGAGTTGATTGCTTCGGCTGGCACTCATAGGGGCCAATGCCACGGTCACTAACAGTCCCGGCCTCCACGGGACGCCCCTCTTAAGAGCATTCAACAAGACACCCCCTCCTGAAGTGCCTCCCCTTGGCTTTCAGGACACCCACTCTCCAAACTTTCCTCCAACTTCTGTGTCCCCTGCCAGAGCTGCCTCCTGCTCTCCGGGCCTGTGCAGCTGGGTGGCCCAGAGCACTTTACCTCCAGACCCTCCCAGACTGATGATCACAAGATGGCCCAAGTGAAAAAGACCAACTCTTCGTTTTCACCTTCAGGTTCTCCAACTCTGTCCAGGCCTATACACCTGACCACTGTCTCAACACCCCTATCTGGTTGTGTCACAGGCGTCTCTAAAACAAAATGCCCTCCATGCCACCGTTCCCCACCCAACTTCTTCCAAAGCCTTCCCACTTCCGTAATGCCCAGACCCTCCCCAAATGGACCTTACCTTTGATTCCTCTCCTTTCTAACGAACGCCATCCAACCCCTCGGCACATGTACCTGCACTCCACTCCCAGTCTGTTCTCACCAGTGACACTGGGTCCCACAGCAAGGCCCCTCACCTGGACGCTGCTGCCACCTGACTGCTCCCCTGCCTCCGTGGTCGCCCCTCTACAGTTTTAAAAGGAGGTGCTTCTAAAACAGAAGTCAAATCATGCCCCTATCCTCCTCATCCCTAGGAACTCTGCAATGTGGCCCCGCAACTCAGGCCGCCCACTCGTGAGCCCCTCCTCCCATCACATCCTCTCTCGGCTCCAGCCTCAGGACCTGCTTCCTGTCACTCAAACAGGCAAGCCTGTGCCCAGCTCAGAGCTTCTGTCCGTTCCTGGACACCTACACGTCCTCCTTCACCCCAGCCAGCTCTGTCCGGATGTCCCCTCCCCAGAGGCCCTCCCTGCCTGCACACCGCCCAGCCCAACCTTACCCACTCCTCCGAGCTTCACTTCTCCTCCAAGTCTCCTGGGCTAACTAACATGAGTGTATGCATGCTGTGTCTCCCACTACCTGTCTTCTCCCTCTCGATCACTGTCCACAGACATTGCAGAATGAAGAAACAAAGGCTCTATGCACACACTCAGCCTGGGACGGACTCATGGCAGAATCCTCGCAGCGTGCAGCTCTGCGAGCGGGGCACATG